TTAAATTTATTCACATTTTCCACATCACTACACTTTATGACTTCGTCACCTTCCAGGTGTCAGCCAGCACAGCTCGATTCGGAGTCCTAGCAGACATATCGGGTTGGGGTGTGTTAGACATTCTCGCCGACGGGTTATGTTCTCCTTTATTTACTCATCATTATTCCAATCTTATGCTTGGGGATTCCCAACATAAGATTGAGAGGGAATGTTAGAAAATAAAGATTGTAGGTTGCTTGTAATATGACATTTATCAAAATGTTAGTGATGGATATGTTATGAGGTGGTTATACTAGATGTAACTATAAATAGTGAGAAGCCTTGTAATTATTACACATGGAAATAGAAAAGAAGTTGTTATACATCTCTCTCTCTCTCTCTCTCTCTCCATATATATATATATATATATATATTCTCTCGTGCACTTTCTCTCTCTAGTTTCTCTGGTTTCTTGATTATGCATCTCAGTTGGGTTGATAGTAGTGACAATTGTGGGAAAGGGTGTTAAGGCAACGAAGGTTGGCATGGTGGGTAATAGGGTGATGGTGGAGGTTGTGATGGCAATAGTAACAATGATGGAACCTGTGGCGGTGATGGGGTGGGGATGGATTCATATATAAATCAAAACTAATCTGATTCAACATAGTGTAACATATTGTTTGTTTATTTTTATTGTTTTGAAAATATTCTTATTTGTGTGTAACAATAATTAAGTTTTTTATTCATTCACAAATCATAATACACTTATACTGTTGGAAGTATGATTATAAAGTCACTCATTTGATGTAATAGCCTTTCGAATGCTCATCATATTAAACTCTTATTTATTTAATGAAGGGGCAAAGCTTATTAATCACTATTTATTGTATCATGTGTTTAAGCAATAACAGAATCCGAAGAACGTATTCAACCTAAGAGAGATGTGATCTAAGTAAGTTAGATTGACGAGGCCTTTCTTTTATGTTCATTCCTAAAATGCTCCCAGCCATATGATTGTCCGTTGGGCATTGACAATCGGCTAAGGCAATATGTTTTATGTTTACTCAAGCGAGAGTATGACTAGTCTCAAGTCATTAAGTGTTAGACACTAAGACTAACACATAGGTGCTCGAAAGGGTATTAAGTAAACTGAACAACGATGAACAGAGAGTTCTAACATACATGTCGTGTAAGAACTCATAAGTTGCAATAATGCAGAGTAGTCTTTTGACCTGAGATCAAGGTTCTAAAATACGCTAGGTGTTAGTCAAACGTCAGGCTGGGGCCTAGCGCCTAAGCACCTAGGCGGGCCCCTAGGCAAAGTAAGTGGATTTAAGTAATTAAATCTATTATATTTCGTGTAAATAAGTGTCTGTTTATAAAGTTTATATAATTTCATCATAAACTACAAAATAGAATGACATATATATTATGAAGTATTGGAACATAATGAAAACATGGGGAACAAGCATATAATGTGTGTTCATTTAAGTATGGAATAGGTTTCTTACAATTTATTGAAAAAAAATGCAAAATGAAAGTAATCTATTTTCTGTCTAAGTGAGTCACAACCTAGACGAGTGCCTAGGCGGTCTAGACGGACGCCTCAGCAGGTCTAGGTGCCCCTTCTTAATTTTCAAACGCCCATGCATTAATAAGGACGGTGGCCAACCGTCTAGTGCCGATTGTTAAAACAGCACTTGAGATACATAGTTGTATAGTGGTTAGGTCCTTGATCTTTGACTATGTTAAAGGCATTCCATTGAGAATGTCCATGACATTGTTGTGGTTAAGCTGCCTGGTCATGTAGACAAGTGAATGTAAAACAATGGATCTCTAACCTTCGATAGTGGAAGGAGAATACTCTGAAATATGATTTAGGGGTCTTCGGCAAAGCATATGAATGAGATTCAAGAAGTACATTCTGAATCATATCCAAAATAATCATATAGAGAAGTATCACATTAGATAGTAGACATGAAATAAACATTAGTTAAACAATGTGTTCAAGAGTATTGAATTAGAGAACGACTGTATTGTAAAGTCTAATTTTAAATGTTCAGCTTTCCTTGTCAAATATTGTATTTGTGTACCACATGCTCAATTTAGTTCTAGACTACATTCTCTAATTATGGGATCCTACTACTGGGATTAAACGTTCAAGGACGTGGCTCCCCTAACTTCAATGGTTTGTTCATGCATGTGAATCTCATATCTTTAATTGTGTTGCATTTTGTCTAGTTTAATTGTCTAATCAGTTTTGCGCGCTGACTTCCAGCTGTCTAGGCACACAAATTAAGGTAACCTACATGGGTTACCGTTCTTTTGGTAATCAGTTTTCGACCATTGATCTACCTAGATCTCTTTCGCAGGCGACAAGTGTCATTGGGACAAGTTGGCAGATGCTGATTTACTTGGGTATATTTGTTCTCTAGGGTTTCAGTTTGAACTTGGGGGTTTAGAATTTATTTTTAGAGAGAGAGAGTTGCTTTTAAGGCTTTGAGCTTGCATCTTCTCCATTTATGAAACCCTAACTACTAAACCTTTCTCATGCATTAAACATCCAATCATTATGTATTAGGGTTGCATTGCTTTAAGTTTTTGCATTTATATCTTGCTCTGGTTTTAAGCTTTGAATCTAGTTTTAGACCAAGATTTTGGGTTCAAGTTAGCTTTTTCCTTCAACCGTTTGACTGGAGAATCTAATTGGTCATTTGAATCCATATTTCATATGCATATCATAAAATCATATCACATCATTGATCGTGTTGATCTCGGTGACATAAGGTGATGAGCTCAAGAAGAGCTGCCACTTTGTGAAGACCGAAGGAGTCCATCGTGTAAGGCAAGGTTGCACAAAGGTAAAGCTACTCCATAGATAAGGATTTAGAAATTGAGCATGTGTGGTCTTTGTATGAACCTTTATTTACACTAGTAGATTGGACTCAGTGGAGAGTCCTCGGTTTTTTTAACCCAGATGTGGGTTTTTCCGACCAAAATTATCTTGTGTTCAAGTTATTTTTATTGTGTCACACATCTCACATACACATATATGATACATATATCTATCGAACATTTAATTGGTATGTGCTCACAATCTTGCCTACTCAACACATTAATAACTTCCAACGAACTGTTGCCTTGCTGACTAGGATAGTTTTTGGGAATTGAAATTGGTAATTGAATCTCTGATTTATTGACTAACAAATTTATCTTAGTTGACTAGCTAGCTTGACTAGTCAGTCCAATAGATTATAATATTTATGTACATGATATTCTACCTATTACCAATTTCAATTGGTATCAGTTTAATGCATGCCTATTTTAAAATGTTACATGTGTGTTTGCACGCTCAAATGTTCTTGTATGTTCTTAGTTATGACACGACTTTCCTTCATATACCTTGTTTTCCTATTGTGCATCATGAAATATTTAATTAAAAATGAAAACTAACGAAAAGTTCAGAAAAACTTCCCTTTTAATGAAAAACTTTTTATGAAGGTATAGTGAATAGTACCAGGAAAATGTATAAATGTGGTTTTTCATTAAAAGTGAACAGTACCGAAAGTATTTTGTTAAACCTACCTAATTAAAATAGAATAATATATAAAAATAAATAAAGTTACTAATGATGTTTTAATTTTTTTTACATCATAAATGAGATCCAATAAAGATCTGATCTGAACCGAAGTTTATCGATTATGGATCGGCAAGTCATATATGATGATTTGAATATGAAGATTCAGATCATAAAGGGATACGGACATGAATAAAAGGCGGATACGATTCGAATTTGATCCTTTTACAAGTGTACGACTCGAAAACATAACCGAAAAAGGAAACATGCTTTGGTGGGTCTACCATTACCCGTGTGAAATTTAGATTCATGAACTTTTTTTTGAGGTAGAATAAGTTCTTAAACTCATTAAAAGTTGTCAATTTCATCCATATTAAAAGATTTAGTTATTCTATTCAATTTTTCATCAGTTTAGTTACATACTTTGAACGTGACACACTCTAGGTACTACTTCAACAGAGAATTGAATGGAATAGCTTCGAATCTACTGGTAAGAATAGAATTTGCAGTTTTTAATGCCTTTAAGAACTTATTTTTCTGTAAAAAAAAATATAAAAATAAAACTTAATTTTCGCTTGGGTAATAACTTAGTGACTAAATCAGCATATTACTCAAATAATTATGGCATTTTGAGTTGGAAAACTTTGTGATTTCTTTGATGGTTTCAATAAACCTGAAATTAAATTAAGAATAAAATTTTCATAAGAAGGTCCGCTCGTAATCCAAAATGGTAAAAAGAACCCTCACAACAAAGCCTCTCAAAAACACTCTTTTGATGTCTATGATCGGAATGAAATGGATAATTCGTTAACTCAGTGTATTTTGAATGATGAAGTGGATGCCAACTTCCAAAGTTTGTCCAGGTTGAAGATAAAAGATGCATTAGAACGAAGGAAACTTAACCCTCGATTCTTACCAGTTTTGCTAGAATTGGAAATGATAAGTTTCTTCGAAACTAATCCATCTTCTACTTTCAACTTACTGACAATTTCTACCAAAATATCTAAGTTCTGGGATCTCCACTGATTTAGCAACACCAGTTCCAACTTGTGATCTAGAAATCAAACCTCCAGTCTATATCCCTCACAATGTAAAACAAGCTTATTTTGTTAACCCAATTCCTGCTTCTTTATAGCAGTAGCAGCAACACCTGAAAGAACTGCATTTATGATATTCTCTATCGTACGAGGATACAAATTTTGAATCAACAAACCTAGTGAGCATCTGCTAGAAATTAACAACAAATTGAGAGATCAAGATATTGAACTTGAACGAAAGTTCCTAGTGAATCCGCAGGGCAGAGCAGCTGCGGTGATAGACTCATTCAATAGACGAAAAATGTTGAACTTCTAAGAAACAAATCTTATGCATCTATTATTATAAGGAACACGCGATCATGATTCGACATCAGAAGTGTATTGAGTTTTCCCCAATAACCAAATACTTTGGTCGATAAATACTGCATATTTAATTCCATTCATAAATCAATTTTACAGGTGTTGGGAAATAGCAGTGAGCCTCGGTCACATGGTTATTAAACATTTCAACATGGTCACAAATATGCTCAAGCTTTTAAGGCTTTAAATTAGACGCAACAAGCATAGTTAATCTCAGTTCATTAGAAAGCAATATACTTCAACTAAACTTCTTTGCAACAGTTTTGATTTTCCAATTTACAACCTGGTCAAGGTGGAAAGAGGAGATACCAGAGAAGCACAGCTTTCAGATGGAATCAAGGGTCTCGATGTATTGATGCGCCTTAACCCTCCTCTGTATAGCCGTAAAGTCATTGAACATACAGCCTTTTGGAAGATCACAGAGCTTCCTTGATGTCTTATGCTTGACATCATATCTGACCACACTCCCAGGTATCGTTAGCACAATACTCAGCTCCTCTTCTTTTTCTTCTCTAATAAGGCTCACTGCAGAAAACACATAAGGGTTACTGGGTTTAAGGGTAACCATCTTCGGGAAAGAAGCTGCTACGGCATCCAAATCACCATTACACTTCACAAACCAACCGGACCTATCCTGCTGCATTTCAAACACAGTGAACAGAGTAGTCCTTGGACTGCAGATCCCAACAAGATGCAGATGGCCACCTGATTCTCCAAAATGGTCGAAAACCATGGGATACGATCCCAGAGAAAGCAGTGGCATTCGTAATCTTTCAAGGCAACCGGTATCCAAATCAAAATATGCCAAAGAGTTTTTCCCTTGATGATACCAATAAATTGCCCCATTCCAGTAAACCCCATTGTCAAAATCCACATCATAAGGCACAATGTACAGCCCCTTGCTGCTGGGTCTCCAAGCCTCGGTCTCGGATGAGTATATATCAATTTTGATCAGATGGTTCAGTTCCGACCCGGATTCTTCACTAACAAAAACGACATTGTAGAAGGGTGACTTTGAAGGATCAAAAGCCACATTAACAGCCATCAATCTCTTTCTGGTCGAGCTCTCAAGAACCCGAATTCTTTTCGAGTGCCCGGAAGCAGAATTACAAACATAATAAGAAGTAAACTGAGGTGAATCCATGTGAGGCTTGGAAAAACACATCAACCCATTACAGAAATGATGAATTTTGAGATTGGGGGTGCTTAAAAATTTTGGGTCTTTAACAATTTGGCCACAGCCTCTAAGGGAAATGAACGAAAATTCAGAGTATGGACCTTGAATAATCAGCAGCAAACCCAAAAGATCATTAGGGTTCTTTTGGACGTAATCGATTCTAAATTGGGGGTCAGAGATGAGAGAGTACCATTGTTTAGATACGCATTTGAATCGGTGAAGGGGTCTTGCCGGGAGGCGCATCAGGATCTCTAGCAGGAGGTCAACTGCGCTGGCCACGGCAGCTGCTGCACCAGAATCTGTGGCTTTGCCGCTTCTTCCTCCTCCCCCTCTTGCTCTGCTTTTGGCCTCCGGTGCCATTTCTCACGCGCGTGGACTGGTTCAGCTTCGTCAAAGTCTTTTTGTTGGGTTGACACCTGTCAAATGTGACTTGCCAACTCTTGTAAGTGCACAATTTGCATGACAAGTCACTGCTCAACACACTCCACTGGTGACAACAGTGACTTTAGCCCTCCACTTATAGCATATCGACTCATGTTAACCATGGTTAATCCATGCATGATGCTAACTATGAACTGCAGTTAAGCATCTATAGTAAATCCAGATATGTATATTATCGTGTACGGTAATTGTAGATACGCGCATTTGTTATGGTTAATATAAGGCATGACACGCCTTACAGACAAGAACAAATTGAAGACATAATGTTTTACGGATAAGAATAAATTAGAGAAGTAGAGACATTATGTCTTGCAGATAAGAACAAAATAGAGACGTCGCGTCTTACAGATAAGAACAAACTAGAGACTTCAATGACCAAATGGGAATAATAATAATTTAGTGCATTGTTATAGCATTTCTACTTATGTTAACCATGAAAAAAATCCATTATGGTAACTATGAATTGTGGTTAAGCGTCTATAGTAAATTCGGATATGCATATTATCATGTATGGTAACTATAGATAGCCATGGCCAACGTAAAGCTTGACGCCTTATAGATATGATCAAATTGGAGACTAAAAAAGACAACAGTAAATAATAAGTTTATGTTATAAACATTATATTTAAGTGTGATTATGTAAATCCTATATTAGATTTGATACTAGTTATTCTTCCCTATTAGGACTTGTATTCCTTGGAGGAGAAGGATTTTTCCCTCCCTTATTATATTATAAACAAAGGTACTACGTAGGGGGAGTAACACATCCTCTGCACAACCCTACAAACACATATCTCTCTATCGTGCCTCTCTCCCCCTTGTTAGATTAAAATAAGTCACAACACGTTATCAACACGCTCCTACCGTTGCGCTTAGGAATCTGACGTGGAAGTTTTCTGCATCAAACCAGTTCATCAATTTCATCACGCCATCAGGTTTTTCCAAAACAACGGTTTTTATTTCAATATTTTTGCAGCCTTGATAGCATAAACATTCACCATAATACATGACCCAACTTTACGTTTTTCGAATTTTAGAATCTACATAAATTGTGTATGCATGATATCCATAATTGTCGAATTATGTGAATTGATATTGCCATGAATTGCATTAAATACATGTCCATGCATTGAATTATATGATGAATATGCATGAAATTTAATTAACTTTATAATCTGGAATTGAATTAAAAATTACAAAAAAAAAAAAAAAAATTTAAGGGTTTCGTTGGAAACCCAACCATGTCACTAGGCTCCCTTCCCCGAGCTGAGAAACCCAACCCTGGAGCCACAACTCCAAGACCAAACCCAAAACCTGACTCCTAAACAGCGTCACCTCTCTTGAACCGTTGTCTAGCATGGCCTGTAACCATGCCCAGCCACCATGGCTACTCCTCGACGACCTTAAGTCATCACTGACAAGTCTTTAACTGAAATTCGATGTTTTTTCGTTGAAATTCCAATCGAAAATTTCTAAGATTTTACAAAATTATGGGTTGTCGTCGAACCAACAGCCTTCGCTGTGATTTTGGTACCACAATACGACAGCCTGAAGCAGTGGCACCAATTTTCTTCTCCGGCAATTTCATCTAGCTTGCGTTGGGGTGTCTGGATCAAAAACCTAAGCCCACTTGGGCTTGGCTTGTAGCATATCTACTCATGTTAGCCCTCCACTTATAGCATATCTACTCAAGTTAACCATGGTTAATCCATGCATGATCCTAACTATGAACTACAGTTAAGCGTCTATAGTAAATCCAGATATGTATATTATCGTGTACGGTAATTGTAGATACGCGCATTTGTCATGGTTAATATAAAGGCATGACACGCCTTACAGACAAGAACAAATTGAAAACATAATGTTTTACGGATAAGAATAAATTAGAGAAGTAGAGACATTACGTCTTACAGATAAGAACAAAATAGAGACGTCGTGTCTTACAGATAAGAACAAACTAGAGACTTCAATAACCAAATGGGAATAATAATAATTTGGTGCATTGTTATAGCATTTCTAGTTATATTAACCATGAAAAAAATCCATTATGGTAACTATGAATTGCGGTTAAGCGTCTATAGTAAATTCAGATATGCATATTATCATGTATGGTAACTATAGATAGCCATGGCCAACGTAAAGCTTGACGCCTTATAGATACGATCAAATTGGAGACTAAAAAGACAACAGTAAAAAATAAGTTTATGTTATGTTTTTACATTATAAGTGTGATTGTGTAAATCCTATATTAGATTTAATACTAGTTATTCTTCCCTATTAGGACTTGTATTCCTTGGAGGAGAAGGATTTTTCCCTCCCTTATTATATTATAAACAAAGGTACTATGTAGAGGGAATAACACATCCTCTACACAACCCTACAAACACATATCTCTCTGTCGTGCCTATCTCCCCCTTGTCAGATTAAAATAAGTCACAACACGTTATCAACATTCTCCTATCGTTGTGCTTAGGAATCTGACGTGGAAGTTTTCTGCATCAAACCAGTTCATCAATTTCATCACGCAATCAGGTTTTTCCAAAACAACGGTTTTTATCTCAATATTTTTGCAGCCCTAATAGCATAAACATTCACCATAATACATGACCTAACTTTACGTTTTTCGAATTTTAGATTCTACATAAATTGTGTATGCATGATATCCATAATTGTCGAATTATGTGAATTGATATTGCCATGAATTGCATTAAAATACATGTACATGCATTGAATTATATGATGAATATGCATGAATTTTAATTAACTTTATAATCTGGAATTGAATTAAAAATTACAAAAAAAAATAAATTTTAAGGGTTTCGTTGGAAACCCAACCATGTCGCTGGGCTCCCTTCCTCGAGCTGAGAAACCCAACCCTGGAGCCACAACTCCAGGACCAAACCCAAAACCTGACGCCTAAACGGCATCACCTTTCTTGAACCGTCGTTTAGCATGGCCTGTAACCATGCCCAGCCACCATGGTTACTCACTGACGACCTTAAGTCATCACTGACAAGTCCTTAACTGAGATTCGATGTTTTTTTCGTTGAAATTCTAATCGAAAATTTCTAAGATTATACAAAATTATGGGTTGCCGTCGAACCAACAACCTTCGTCGTGATTTTGGTACCACGATACGACCAGCTGAAGCAGTGGCACCAATTTTTTTCTCCGGCGAATTCATCCAGCTTGCATTGGGGTGTCTGGATCAAAAACCTAAGCCCACTTGGGCTTGGCTTGTTCTCGACTAGCACCAGCGTTTTGGGTTTTTGAGCTACATTCGGCCCAACACCGACCTATTGGCCACAGTGTTCCCACTGCACTGGATCCCAGCCTATGTGCTGGTGTATCCGTGTATGCGTTGCACAAGATTGGCGCCCTTATTTGGGCCATGGCCATCTAGGCCTACGTGTGCAACCCACTTTTATGCACATAGGCTTCTTGCCCAAGCCCGGCCCATAACTGACACCAGCCCAAGTGGGCTTTGGTGTCCCCCCTACGCTCGCGTTGCACAAGATCCCAACCCCGCACTAGTGTATCCGTGTCCTCGCATGCACTCAATCCTAGCCTGCATTTGGAGTATCGATGCATCACACCGTGTCGCACCTGATCAGTGCCCCTTCTGGGCTTATGTTTTTTGGCCCAGCTTTTTTGCAACCTGTTTGTTGCTATTAGGCCTGCAACCCCTTGGCCTGGTAAACCCATTACAGCTTATTTTTCTGGGCTTGGGTCGCACAGTCTCAGTTCACTTAGCCCAACCATGGGCTTTGGTCCATGTTTTTGGGCCCCGAGCTTAATTGTTTTTTTTTTTTTTTACACAATTTGGGTTTTATAGTTTTTTACCCACACTTTAATTTTGGCCCGAAGTCCAAATAATTAATTCAATTATAATTCTAGACCTGAAGATCTATTTGCATATTTTCTTATTGCATATTTTTGTATTATATATATATATATATATATTTGTGTTTGTTTGCAAGAACATAAGAACATGAAGTTCATAATTCTTTCAAAACCCAAAGTTTCTAGAAATATGCCTTGTTTGAAAACCTAAAGTTTTCATTGAAAAAATCACCCATGAAAACCCGGAGTTTTTTCATGAAACTTTAAACAAATAAATCTTTATTAGAACCTGAATGTTCTACTCCTATGTGAATGGATTGATTTTTTCTCCATTACACTAACCACATTCTTGCCTATTTATTTTGTGATAGGGACATATCGAATTTGCTTTAGAGGTCTCTGGAAGAAATTACCTCAAGTGGGTCCGAGATATGAAGCTCCATCGCACTGCAAAGAATTTGCATCCGGCCATTGAAGATGAGATGGACAACCCGGTTGGCAAAGCTGAGAAAGCCACTGCCACGATCTTCATTCGAAGACATATTCATGATGCACTGCAAACTAAGTACCTTGTTGAGGAAGATCCACGAGCACCTTGGGTCGCTTTGGTTGATCATTTTGATCACCAAAAAGTACATCTTCTTGCCTGAAGCAATATATGACTGGAAGCATCTATACTTCCAAGACTTTAAGTCTGTGAATAGATATAATTATGAAGTTTGTTGAATCCGATCACTTCTCAAGTTCTGTAATGAGAACTTGATCAAAGAGGATCTCTTAAAGAATATCTATTTGACCTTCTCTGCTACCAATATTGTCCTACAGCAACAATATAGGACTCATAAGTTCACTAAGTTTTCGGATTTGATCTCTGTTTTACTTCTCATTGAAAATTAGAATCAGTTATTGATGAAAAATCATCAAGCTCGACCTACTAGGGCGATTCTTGTGCCTGAAGCACACTATAGCACAAACCAACACCTAAGACACTAACACATGCATGGTAAAAGTGGCCAAAGGCCGTCCCATCAAGGTCAACAGAGCTAAGGCCCATCTAAAGGAGGAAATCGAGCCCAAGTGTGCCCTAAACTCGCTCACAGGGCCTCAAACTTCAAGAATAAGGGCAAAGCACCTGACACCATGGATGCGGACATGTGTTACCGCTATGGTTCAAATGACTAATGATCATTTGTTTGCCATGCTCCCCAGAAGGTCGTAGCTGAATATCATTCTCGTTGTACGAAGTTTGAATCAAACTTTGTGCAAGTGGATAAACCGGAGAGTACCAAGATTGAGGTTTCTGACTTTCAAGAGGCTATTACCCCTATGGAAGATTAGACTCTTAGATATGAACTATTTTTAGTTGCATTTTAGAATAATGGGGCCGAATTCCACCTAGTGGCAGAACGCCCCCTTGTTTTTTGGTTTAAGTTTGAACAATTTTCCCTTATGTTTAGATTATTTGTTTTTGGATATTAAGTTTTTTTAATTAACATCCTTGGATACTTAAATTATTTTGAATGGATATTTGTTTTTAGAACTTTTATGCATGTGACCCATTCAAATTAATTTTTATTTCTAGGTATGACTAGTGGAAAAGTTGCACACCGTTTTACGTGAACGCATCTATTTTACTAACTTTGTTTCTGAGATTACAACTCTGACAACCCTCTCAGGCCCATCTAACTTGATCGAAGGATACGGTAAGACACATATAATGTTGTCCATTGGTACAATTCTTGACCATTAACGAGGCACTTTTTTCTCCATGTTCCAGAAGAATGAAATTACACATGGCATGATCATTTAGAACACCCTGGATGAACAATGATGCGCCGTATCCTCAAATCTTCACATTGGCATCCACTAACTCGAAATTTAGGTTCGATTCAAGGAATTGCATGTCAAATCTGCTCCATAGGAAAGTTTATTAATAAGTCTTCTTATGACAAGATTCGTTCGAATCCTCCTATTTTTCTACAAAGGATTCAGGGGGACATTTGTGGACCGATTCACCTTCCCTGCAGACCATTTAGATATTTTATGGTTTTGGTTGACACTTCTACACATTGGTCACACGTGTGCTTGTTGTCCACAAGGAACACTGCATTCTTCAAACTGTTGGCTTAGGTTATCAAGCTCAAGGCTCACAACCCTGATTATCTGATCAAATCTATTCGATTGGATAATGCTGAAGAAGCCACATCTAAAACTTTTGAGGACTATTACATGTTGGTTAGGTTTGAATTTGAACATCAAGTACCCCATATTCACATCTAAAATGGCCTAGCAGAGGCATTTATTAAGTGCTTACAAATGATCGCTCGATCATTGGTCATATGTACTAACCTCCCGATCGTTGCTTCTGGCCATCCAATATTGCATGTAGCCATGTTGGTCCGCCTGAGGCCTGTTATGACCTAACCATATAGCACCCTTTAATTGGTTACTGAATACAAACCCAACATATCGCATCTCCGCGTTTTTGGTTGTGCAGATTTCGCCGCCTTTACGTACAAAAATGAGGTCTCAGCGAATGATGGAAATCTATATCATATATGATTCTCCTTCAATTATTCGATACTTAAAACCTTTGACAAGTGATTTGTTTACCGCTTGTTTCACGGATGGTCATTTCTATGAGACGGTCTTCCCGTCGTTAGGGGAGATAAAAACGTCACTGATCCTAAAGAACGATGTAAATTATCATGGACGATTCCCACTTTGTCTCATTTAGATCCCCGCACCGCTCAGTCTGAAACTAAAGTGTATCGCATATTAGAACTTCAGAGTCTAGCTCAGAGCATGCCAGATGCTTTCACAAATCTAGCGCAAGTGACAAGATCACATATTCCAGCTACAAATGTGCCTACAAAGATGGATGTATAAAATATACGACGGACTTCCCTCAGGGGGAGTATCCTGAGGTATACTTTTTTGATCTTAATGTACTCTTTTTCCCTATGATTAGGAGCATTTTTCCCTTTGGGTTTTTACTACCAAACGAGGTTTTGACGAGTCACCCACCTTGGGTTGATCACATCCCTAATGACGTCTCGAGGACGTTTCATTTGACTTTGCATTTCTCACGCATTTTTCCTTAGACAATGGATTTTGTCCCTACTTGGGTTTTACCATAGCCATTGGGTTTATTGTGAGACTTAGTTCCATATGCAAGTTCCTACTTTACTTTGAGACTAGCTTGTTCCTAGAGTCAGTGGGAGTGTTATAAACATTGTATTTATATGTGATTGTGTAAATCCTAGATTAGATGTGATACTAGTTATTTTTCCATATTAGGACTTGTATTCCTTGGAGGACAAGGATTTTGCCCTCCCTTATTACTATAAATAAAGGCATTGCATAGGGAGAATAACGCACAACCCTACAAACACATCTCTCTCGACTCTATCTCTCTGTCGTGCCCCCTCTCTCCCTTGTCAAATTAAAATAAGCCACAACAAATTAATAATAATAATTTGGTGTGGTGTGGTGTGTTTTGAAACCAATGAAAACATTCCACGAAACAATTTTTAAAGAACTGTTTTGGTTTTTTTTTCTTTTCAATAATGGCTCGTTTACTAATTCATAATCAAAATGAAGGAAAAGGAATTAAGGAAGAATTGGAATAATATGGAATCAGAATGAGATTCTTATTGAAGTTGTTTACTAAAAATTTCTGGAATCATAGTACAAAAGATATTGATCCATATAAATTGTGTACTCATTCACATGAATTAGAATGAAAACTAATGTGATTACTAAAATATCCTTGTGCCAAGTAATCTGTTTTTATATTAATTTTTTTGTCCCAAATGGATTGGATTAAAACACCTCAAAAAGGGGCCAGAGAACAAAGAGGTCATTCGTTTCTCTCTCGGTCGATAATAACATTATGTTTCTTCGTATCTCCACCAGCTCTTCTAACCGAAGCACCTCTTCCCATAATACCAACCAGTAGCCTACTTCTCGTCGAAATCCATCGCTGTAGTCCTGACACTCATTCCTTATTCCACAAAATTTGACTGTTAGAGCAGTTTTTGGACAACCACGGTGGTTCCAACCTACACAGATTAAAGACAAGCAAGGACCTTTAAGCCGAGCGTCCGAGTTTGGTGGTTCCCGGCGTAGGCACTCCGATGGTCAAGTCAGATTGTGTCTAAGTATGGGTAGAAATAGTGTTTTAGGGCTTAGAGTGTCTAACCCCTTGAGAGGAGTCGGTTTATCTATTTATAGGCTAAGAAGAGTCAATCTAAACTCCATGATGTTGCTCTGAGCAGATAGCTTGAGTGGGAGTTGGCAGCAGAACCCCTCCATTCAGACATGTTGTTCGTTAGAATAGTAAGGCCTGTCCTCTGCGTGGCCTGGGTAGACATATCTGCCATGCCAGTCAGCCTGAACGAACATCCCATGTTGCCGAGTAGGTAATGCATCGATCGGACATGACAGTCTCCTGTTTGAGAGGGAGAAGTTGGTATAACTAATAGCCGTCGGTCCACTCCGCCTAGAGTGACATCATTCCCTTAGCTGAGCAAATAAGTAAGATCATGTCGGGAACCACTGATTAGGTCGTCTCCCCATAAGAGATGTATGGTTCTATCCCCACACCAAGTTAGTATTTGCGAAGTGGCTCGATTGTTCACTGTTCTGGTAAGGTGAAAATTACGGTCTTACATTCACCTTCATCTTCAAAAGCATCCTAAAACTTCAAGTCCAGTCCGAGATAGTTCAGTGCAACAAAAGCACCCTAGAGCTTCAAGCATAAGTGACAGTATCCCGAACCTCAACCATTCTATATCCTGGAATAGATCATTGGCTATGCACCTATTTGTGCCCCTACTAATGTTGTTGAGTAGTACTATCCCCATAGTCAATTTGTGAGACTAATTTTGGCATAATTTTATCTATTGCGTAACACCAAACCCTACAAAAATAACACCTTCATTAATTTGTATAAAAGATGTTTCTCTCCCCCACCACCAAGCAGTTGAAGACCGTTTCTCTCCCCGACCAGATTCGTGAAATCTGCGGCTTACTAGCTATACATTGGGCTTTTGATCCGTCGCATTCACCACACTTCAAAATGTTTTTGTGTATTGAAGAAGAAGCAACAGGATCAGGATGTACTTTCGAGTCCCAAATCAACACTTGGAACCCATCTCCAATACTTTTACCACCCGAAACCACATGTCAGCATCCACTGTCACGGTCATACCGCAATTCCCTTTACTTCGATATGGACACAAACCTTCCCGGAGTTTGACGAGTCTGTGTTATTATCGGGAGCCTCGAGGCCATCTGCATTTTGTAATCGCAAGCCAAATAACCGCCCCCGCTGCAGAGCTTGATGGGCTGGAATTGGTTCAAAATTACTCTGCATGGTCTGTAAAGTACCGTGCCAACCTTGCTGTTTTAACGAAAAGTATGGGGATTCAAGCGTCTGGTTTCAGCCTTCGGTTATGAGTGTCGTTCGCAGAAAGGAAAGAGGAATCGGAATAGGCACCGTTTGTGTTTGGCACGGTTATGTCCTACAATTCTTACGCGATGGCAAGCTGAAGAAGTTCATGCGTTTACTTCCATGCCAGGAAGCTATTAATCAGGATTTGAACTACACATCGAAGAGTGTCTTACTATTTGCTTTTGATAAAGTGGGGACTTTTCTAAGTTGTTCTTTCAATCGACGCCATGGTTGTAACGTAACAGTGCTACCACAAGCTTGGCGGTGTTATGGTCACAGAGAAAAAAATTCCGCCTTATATTCACAGATTGAATTGAACCATACATTCAGAAACTACATGATCAATCGTCTAAGTTTGTACAGTCAAATGTATATACTTCGACGTGACAGAGGATGTCAATCCAATGCATATGCCTCCGTTTCTCAAGGAACATGATCGCATCTCTTATTCAGATAAACCGAATAAATGAGAAGAAACGAACTGGAGGAAATATTACAAAAGGCAGAAGTTTACCATCGATTGTGCAGCATTCTTAAGAGACAAATACAATCCAAACACAATGCATACCTCTTAACATTACGTTCCATAGATCAACAAAGAAAAGGAAACACTTCCCTCCACCAGGAGAGGGATACTTGCGGTTCAGTAGGTTACATTCTATGACTAGTCCCACAATTATTGTCAAACATTCTCTGATTACTCATAGAAACTTCCTGTATGGTCTGCCTGCATCCTCATCTTGCATGTGCTGTCATCATAGAAAACTCAAATGTTAGCCAATCAGTTGAAAGCAAAGACTGGAATGTCGAAATTGTTTCTGCGGTGATAGTGTGGGCACTCACTCAAACAAGTAATAAACCAAAAGATAGAGATGCATTATAAATGTCATAGCAACCACAAAATGCTAGGATAAATATACCGACTAGTACGTAATCAAAGTTTTTATAGTATTATAAAAGAACAAGGGTAAGAGTACTTGATTCTTAATATTAAACCTATCTTTCAAAACAATAAGCCCTTCAATATTACTATTAACTTTCAGTATCCGAAGTTTTTGAAAAATCCGACTACTTTGAAGCCTTTACCCTTAAAAGTGTTCATCTCTGAAATAAGTACAACTGAAAACTGTGAACATGGAAATACAGAAGTGTCCAACAATGAATATACAGTGAGATATTGTATGCAACGAGAATATAAATCACTAGGCTGGGGGAGGAACAAAATTCGACAAAGGAAAGGACTTTACAACAAAAAGGATATCCCTTTCCCCCCTAAAAGCAAAATCTAATAAGGAAGAAGAAGATTTCAGGCAGGTAACATTAGATTTGATTAAGGCCCCTAAACCCTTGTTCCTACAAAAAGATTTCCGCTCAAAGCGACACCTCTTCTACTATCTATGTTAATCATTTACAAAGTCTCAGAGAAAAATCCCCTTAATTTCTCCAACAGAATTCACAACCCAACAAATGCTCTAAAACCCCCATAGTAATGCAGCTCTCCAAATATGGATAAGCGACCGAGGGACATTTCAGACCCATTTTCCCATCTAACCTAGCATTTTCTTACGATTTCAAAACGAAAGAAAGGCTTCCCAGTCTGCATTTAACTCTTGCAACAGAAGGTTATTCATGCAGAACTCAATTTCATAAAAAAGATGGAATTTGATAAAACCCCTAAAAATGCCAGAGGTTGTTAGCTCAAACACTTCACAAATGATGATTCTACACCAATTTTACGACTCCCAAGCCAGACGAAAAATAAAGAAGAAACATCTGTTCTTTCCCCAAAACACAATTTGGGTCAAAACCCAAATGTTTCAACTTATGAGAAAATTGATATCTTAAAAGTCAAAAAAATTCTGAAAGTTATAAAATCAAATAGAAAACAGTCTAAACCGAGCTACTGAGGAATCAAAAACCAACATATTTCGAACCCTATTGCGATCGATTAGGCAAAATCCAAACGGATCCACGGGATTAATTTCCAAAATTAAACAAATAAATAAATAAACACAAATAACTGAGAGAGAGAAGGAGAGAGAGGGGGTTACAAAGTCTCTGACGATGCCCTTGTAAACCAAGATAGGGAGGGCGATGCCGAAGATGCCAACGAGGGCGAAGTTGCGGCGAGTCCAGCGGAAGTTGTACTCGAGATTTTCTCTCACGGATCCCCACTCCTCTATGAACTTGTTCTTGTTTGCTTCCATTCCTCCCCCCATTTTCTTCTCCTCACTGCTCTCTCTCCTCTCTCTCTCCAACACTCTGTCTATCCGCTCTTTCTAGAGTTGTATCGAATTTACCTCAATTGAATACTCGGGCAAGTCCAGCGCGGGCAACAGCCCCGGACTGGAAACAATTGCAACCTAATCCTATGCCAAAGTGGCGCCAACCCATCCGGACAATTGGGCTAAGGGGAGCCCGTGGGAGATATCAGGCGCAAATCCAAGCCTCGAGTGTTTGAGGGAGAAGTGATGCAAGGCTGGCATCAGTCATATTATAAAAAAAAAAGTTTGCGACAAATCCATGCAAAACACGTGCGCGTGGGAGGGGGGGTGCTTACCCGACAACATTTCAGGCAGCAAGGCCTGTGTGACAGCCCACTCAGTTGATCCAATAGGCAATTACTATTCATTTCAAGAGTCGAGATACAATAGGCAATTACTGTTCATTATAGGTAGTTACTATTCACTTGAGGGGATTAAATTGCCTGTTGCCATGGGAAGCCTTTACATATTGGAACTGCTGTTCTTGTGTTTAGCTGCAACGATAACTCAATTCCAGCCCCTCACCTCTTTTTCTTTTTCTTCGTTTATTATTTTATTACGTTGCATTAGCAATATTTATTTTAATTTGGTACATTATAAATACCCAAAGATCAAAATTCAAAAAAGACTCTTTAGGTTTTGCAAACCCTAGGAGAACGACTGGTACTCTCTTATAGAAATCTTCAATTTCATTGATTCAAGTTGGTCCCTAGCTTCAAGGAGGGAGACAAAGACTCCGAGTGGGTCTAAGGGTTCATGGTGTGGAGTAGCATCCAACCTTTCTCTACGCGGTGTGTTTGTTTTTACGTGTGAAGGTGTATCTGGTTTGAAATGACCTTAGGTACAATGAAGGATATGGTTACAAAGTTTTCTGGTCGTTTCACAATTATGAACGATGAACATAAAGTAGTATTTGTGGACAAACAGGAGGCTCTCACTTTGAAATCCAATAAGGTGCTTCTTGTGGGGTCGGTTCTTACCTAGAAAGCAGTGAATAAGGAGGGTTTTAAACAACAGATGCGAAATCATTGAAGACCCAAGGCTAATGTTTTGATATTTGAGTTGGAAAATGACAGATTTACATTTGGGTTTAACTCTAATCGAGAACGTTCTATGGTACTAAAGGGTGGACCGTTGCTTTACAATAAGCAAGTGTTGCTAGTTCTCGAATAGGCTAATGATGTTTCTAAACCGTTGGCTATGTCGTTGCAGTTTCAGGAGTTTTGGATTCAGATAAAAGGGCTTTTATTCTGTTATATGACCAGGCAGATGGGTATGTTCTTGGGCAATATTTTGGGGCAGCATGTGTTCACTGATCAAAGCAGGATGGATGAACAGTTTGGTAGTATTTTACGTGCACGCGTGAGGATTGATGTTACTAAACCATTGCATCACTGCATGTTATACAACTAAAGGGGTGAGTGATCGAGTTTGATGTTCGTTATGAGAAGCTACCTCTAACGTGTTTTCTTTGTGGCTTAATGGATCATGTGGATGAGTAGTCTGAGAGGTTTATAGGTGTTTGTCATGACAATCTTGCAAAATCGTATGGTAGATGGTTTCAAAATGATGTATTGGGCAAGGATTATAGGAAACCTGCAGGAAAAAGTTTGGCCTTGGTTCGACCGGGGGATGGTCCATGAAAGCACTTAGACCTCATACCTTTGGTGTGAAGCTATAGGATTCCAATGGAGATATGGGGGTTATTGCTGGTCATGGAAACTGTTGGAAGATTATAAATGAATTCGAAATGACGTTTGTACCTTTTATGTGGAAACTTGAATCTCAACACGCTCCTACAAACACGAACAACTACTCTGACCCTCTGTGCACGTCTAGAACCTTGTAAGTCGTCAGGTTGGCTACGATATGTCGAGTTGCCCCTTGGTTTTCGCCTCCCAAGACCTAGAGCCGAAAGTGATAGCTCTAAAGACCTAACTAGAATATTTGAACTATGGAAAAGCTTGTGTTTCTTGTGTCGTCACTCTTCCCCAAAACCTCCTTATATAATGGTTGGGAAGAGTGTACAAAGACTGGAAAGGCCATGAATCCAAGTATATTCTAATATGAATATCTCTTGACTTTCATCTAATTATCACATAGATAATTAGGAGGTTAATATCCTCAAGTGGGTGGAATATCCTTTTATATTTATTTATTTATCCCATAAGATAAATCCTACATCTCTTACTCACCCATATAGGGTGTGGCATAGTCTCAATCAACACACTTAGTTCACATCCATTCTAGTCCATCTCCTCATACAGGAAATAGGATGCGCGACCTCGCAAGAAATAACGTACATAACCAAAAGCACTGCCATTAAGTTGTCACTAAACTAACAATAGTGCATCACTCAGAAGTTCATCGCTTTATGCCCCAAACTGTTCGTCACACACCAGACTTGACATTCTTTATCCCTCGTTATGAAATAAAAAACAATGTCATGTCTCATAAGTATTATGTGTCCATGTCTTATGTTTGATGACAAATATCAAAAGACCACGCAACTAATGAATCACATGGCGTGGTGTTTTCTTTGAACTATCTTCCTTAAGCTCTCATTTCAGTCTAATTTGATTTAACTACTTGCCTAGACACGCCTCTCAGGACAGTAGCTAACTTGACCGTCTTAGATAAATGTGCTAAAGTAGCGATCATTAAACCTCATTTTCTAACAGACTTTAGTTCAAAGGGCATAAGGGTGGCATCGTATAGATTCCTTGTGGTTTACACAATGATTGAAGCAAGGATCAATTCATCACTCCCACTATTAGTCAGTTATAGCACATACAATATGATTTGTATGTTATGGTGTATCCTCATTTCAATGACTGTGTCACATGTCCATTAGACATACACTATACGGATCTTAGTCTAGTCGCTACACAAGCACCTAACTTGAGTCTTTTAGCTTAGTCACCTTCTTGGCACCCTCATCTCTGACTTTACAAGCTTCACACATGAAACAAATCTCATGTTCGACTTCTGTTAAGTCTCATCTTAGACATTTCTAAGGCGACGTTTACTTTATGCATATTGGTACGTTCAACATACACGTGTTCGGTCTTGCAACCCAATGCGTTGAAAACACAAATGTCTCATCCTATTCGCTATCTTAGCGCCAGGGCGAATCATTCGTGTGAAAAACCAAATCTAGCTTGGTGACACTCGTAAAGATGTGTAAACATACATTTCAAAAATAAATAAATATGAAATGAAAAACTTCAATGCCTTTTTATTCAATAATAATGCTAAATACAAAGAAAAACACATTAAACCCTACATAAACCCATATTCTTTACATGAATCAGAAACAAGTTTTTAATTATGGGTTTAGTCATGGGATTAGCGAGCATATTGCTGGTTAAGATATGTTTCAACATTACTTTACCCTTGGTAACCTTGTTCCTAAAGAAATTATATCGTGTATCTATATGCTTAGAATTGCCATGATATTTAGGATCTTTAGTGTATGCTAAGGCCGAAGTACTATCACAGTAGACAAGTACAGCTTCTTGAGCATAAGCTGTAACTCTTATCTGTCATATAAACCTCATATGCCAAACAACTTCTTGAATAGTTGATCCAAGGGCAACATATTCTAACTCTATTCTGGACAGAGCAATACAAGTTTGCTTCTTGCTACACTAAGAAACAATTCCACCTCCAAGGATAAAAGCATACCGTAAGGTGAACTTGCGTTCATCTCTATCACTTGCCCAGTCTGCATCATTATATCCTCTCAATGTTAGATCTCCTCCTTGGTAACATAAGGCTAAATCTTTTATTCCTTGCAAGTATCGCATAGTCCTCTTGACGACTTACCAATGAGTTTGTCCAGGATTACTTTAATAACGGCTTATCATGCCTACAGCATGGCAAATGTCCTGACACATGCAAAGCATCGTGTATATCAAACTTCTTATTGTAGAGGCATAAGGGACGTTTGCCATTTGTTCTTTCTCTTTCTTAGTCTTTAAACACTATTCTAAGGACAATATCGCACCTCTTTCCATAAGAGTGCTTATGGGTTTGGAGTTCTCCATCTTAAATCGTTCAAGTACCTTCTTAATGTAAATCTCTTGAGACAAACTTAGAAGTTTCCTTGAGCGATCTCTCGTGATCTTAACTCCAAAAACATAATGTGTTTCACCCATATCTATCATCTCAAAATAGGATGACAACCATGCTTTCGTGGTTTTTATGAGGGTTTTGTCATTTCACCCTATTAGGATGTCGTCAACATATAGAGAAAGTATGAGAATACTTTTCCTAGATTTCTTAAGATACACACAATGGTCTTCCTCAATCATCTCAAAACCAAATGAAGTGATTGAATTATGGAATCTAATGTTCCACTATCTAGATGCTTGCGTAAGGCTATATATGAAACGTTTTACGCAGTAAACTTTGCGCTCTTATCCCTAGGCCTCAAAGCCTAAAGGTTAATCCATGTATATCTCCTCGTCTAGTTCTCCATTAAGAAATGTTATCTTAACATCCATTTGGTAAAGTTCCAAATCTAGTTAAGCAATAATAGCTAAAATAAGGTGAATAAAGGAAAATCTCACCATAAGGGAGAATGTCTCTTCATAGTCTACACCAAATTGCTGAGTGTATCATTTCGCCATAAGGCGTGCCTTATATTTGTCAATTGAACCATCTACCTTGCATTTGATTTTTAAAACCCACTTGTTTACAATGGTTTTACGCCCAGGTGGAAGATCAACTAACTCCCAAATAGTATTTTTGTGACACGCCCGACCCTGATATTCCCGAACACCACGGTAAGCACGTACTGGCCTACACCCGAAGGTGACGAAGCCACATTAAGATGCATGAGAAATAATAGATATAAACAGTGCTTATAAATTTAAATACAATGATTATGCAATTAAGGAACATGTTCAAAGCATACAACTAATTAGAACACTAAAAAGAATGATATAAAATTCAATGAACGAAGGAATGGATCCTACATTGAGATGACTCGAAGATGCTGATGCGGGAGTGCCTTGATGCCGGGATTATATGCCTCGAATCTAAGTCTTGAGGGGGCGCAAAACAAACATGAGTATACCAAGTTGATATATACATATATATATATATATATATATATATAATAC